TAATCTATAAATTCTCTCCACAGAGAAGTGGAGAGTAGTAAGCGCAGAGTGTGATTTCTTTCCATGTTTATTAATTCATTCCACACCTGTAAAGTCGTCTGAAGATTTTGAACTTAAGATTGTAGCAACAGTAAAATGTACATTTAGTCTGTCAACCAAATAGTGTTTAATTTCTGATTATTAATTATATCAAGTATGAAATTTTAGAAATGTATACAAAGAAAAATCATTCGACTTAAGTCGTATTAAAATATCAAGCCAAGCAAAATAATGATGAGGCAATTGCTTAAAGATCATCAGGAAATCCAACTCATTTTTTAAGAAAAATAATATATCATTAGTAAATCTGTTTAACAGGACCGATAGGTCCTGGGTTCGAATCTCGCGGGCCGTGATCGGGGATGCGCACTGATGAGAAGTCCCACAATAGGACGAAACGGCTGCCCAGTGCTTCCAGGCTACCCATGGTGGTTTAATTTCAGTTGACTCGTGATCTCAACTATTCAATAATAATTGTTTAAATATTACTGTATTGTTTCGTGTTTTTCTGTATCGAACAAAATTTTCACAAGTGTCTGGTCATATCAAAGTAACAGCGTGAAAATCAGAAAGACTTCAATAATTTAACCATGATATTAAGTAAAATGTTGTCCAGGATCTGTTGTTGTTATATCGAGTATATTAAGACCCATTCACGATTTTCATTAATTCTACACACGAAACCGAATCCTAATGAGAATCATCTTGAAATTATTTGAAAATTCACTATTTACACTTTCTCCGGAATATCAGCACTACAGAAATATTATGTACATTATCATTATCAAAATGATCCCAATATCACTAGAAATGAATATATGGAATAAACATTGTTAATTTTTTATTTCTAATCAGAATTTGATAAATACTGTTTATTCGAGATTGAATTCACTATTCGATCCAAGCTAGAACACCATTCAAAACCTGAAAGCACTGGACGATCGTTTCGTCCTAGAATGCGACTCTTTAGCAGTGTACATCCACGATCCCATACATGGGATTTGAATCTAGGACATTTGGTCTCGTGCACGAACAACTAACCTCTAGACCACTGAACTGGCATCCAATGGTGTTAATGTATCCATTGTCTGAGATGGACAACAGCCTTCATTTGAACTCCACTGATCAAGGTTTCTTATTAGAACTTCAGCAGTTCCATCTTGAATCTAGTGACTAGTGAGCACATGATTATTATTATCAGAATGGAGATTTGTGAAGATTTTACTATTTTCCCAGTTGAATTCACGAGCTGATTTAAGCTAAACCTGAAAGCATTAGACAGCCATTTCGTCCCAGTATGGGACTCTTCATACCATATAATCCAAAAAATATATTAATTTTGAATTCATTATTCTAACTTGATATTATCTACAAAGCGACGATGAAATATGCAAAAAAATTTAACAATCAGAGTTTTACAATTTTGATATTTCAAGTTACATGTGTTAGCTTCAATTAACTCATGATCTCAACTATTAAAATTACTATGATATCCAACAAATCCATTTCTGATATTACATGGTTTAGCTTCAATCAAAGAATACCATCTTATGTAATTTATTAGAATCAATACAATTCTAATAGTATTAAGTTCTTCATATTGAATAGTTCAACTAAATCATGAAGTCTTTATTGACTTACTAGGTGAGACTATAATTTGTGGACAACCTTTGAGCGACTCTAGACTGATCTTGAGAGTGTTCATTTAATAACCTTGACCAAATGAGTGTTATAAATCTGTTTGAGGAATTATAATTATAATTTACAGTTGATGATTAAGGTTAAGAATTAGATTTCAGATTTTCATCACGAACTGATATCAACTATAATGCTAAAACTCTATTTATCCAAATGGATGAGTGAATTTCTCATCAAAATGCAAGACTTCTTATCTTATACGTGATTGGTACAAGTAGGTGGTTATCAGGACTCAGTAGCTAAGTGGATAACGTGATCGCATTTGAAATGGATAGTACTGGGTTCGAGTCCCGGAGTGAACATTAACTCTGGGGTTCAGGTACATCTAGCTGACGAGTTCCTAATTAGACGAAACGTGCATCCTAGATTTCACTGCTAACCACTATCCATCTTTTCTGAAAAAGCTTGTGACTTGAGGTTATATCGAGGCAATCCTTACAGGATGCACATATACCAACATGAGGCTAATCAATTTCAGTCTAAGTAGATACAAGTAAAACAACATCTAGTGAATTTATATATGATTGGTTCATTCATAAATTAGAGTTTCAGCACTTACTCAATTATAATAATGTTAACATGATCTTTCTTTTCAAAGTTTAATATTGAATGAAATAAATCAAAACTCTAATCATTCAATGACATTAATGTGTTTATACAGTTTCATGGAAAATGTAAAAAAAACAGGGAAAAAAAAGAAAAAAAACAATTTATCATTATCTTTTCCATGGTGCTATTTATGTTTACTTTAAATTTTATACAAATTAACCATGGAAAACACAGTATAATGTTTTTATTTATTGAGTTACTTTAACTATTCAAATGAAACCCCTATCTTTGAGAACTACATTATTGATCAATATTTATGAATCGTGATAAATATGTGGATACTAGAAAGAAAATGAACGTGTTAAATCAATAAAAGTGTATTTATTTCTTATGAATATTATCACAGCTTCTCGTTAGATTTCCTTTTTTTTTCTTCTTCTTCTTCATCACCCCTCCCCTCCCATCTCATGATAATCCACCCTATTTTTGTTGAATGATTGATGATGTAATTGTGTTTCAATGTATATAGAGAAATGATTTATTGATAAATAGTCAGGTTTTATTTTATGGAAAACAATTTATATTACATAATTCATCGTATGTAAGGGTATAGATATATGTATGAAAGGGAACAAATAAGTAGTATTAGATTTCTACTCGAACTTCTATTCAACTATTCAGTCAATCAGGATTATGTTGTATATTTGTAGTGTCAGTAATCAATGTGAATATTATTATCAATAATAATAATCATAGTCACACCCATTGTGCTCAGTTGAAATTACAACACACCTAAACGTACATTTAAAAAAAACAAACTTCAATGACATAATACATAGTAAGGTTATTATTTCTTTTTTTTCTTTTTTACACCTAACAAATTGACACGTTTTAAAACCTGACATTTTGTGCTTTTAAATATGCATAATCATATTTGTATGTTGTGTGTGTGCTGAGCTCACAAAGTTGTATGTATACAATACAATTAGCCTGAGACAAAAAGAATTCAAGTGCTTTTTTTTGGGGGGGGGTGTTAATTTCTCGTAATTAATATTAGAATGAGAAACGGGTTTTTGTGGATATTATCGTAATTTAATAGTTGAATTTATGAGTTAATTGAAGCTAGATCACCATGGAATATCTGGAGGTATTGAACAGCCGTTTCGTCATAGTATTGAACTCTTTAGCAGTGCGCATCCACAATCTCGTCTAGCGAGATTCAAATGATTTATTCAGTATATCATTCACTTATAAACTGTAATTGATAAGAAAGGTTCATTTATAAAGAAATTATATCATTCTACTGAACAATGAGTGTGTAAAGTACTTGGAGAGAAAGACAAAAAATCGTTATAATAAAGTAAATATTAGTTCGATTTGAGTTTCACTATTGAGTTAAATAAATTATCCTATTGAGATGAATTAAAGAACTTAGGTTTATTGTCCAACATTATCATAAAACAATGAGTTATCTTATTCTGTATTTTACTTAAACAAAGACTTCTATTGTGATGTATGAAACTTATATTGACTGATATAAATGATATGTAACACCAATCAGAAGGTTGAGAATATCGAGTTGAAGAGAATAGGAATGTAAACAGAGAGTAACTGTAACAACAATAGGAATGAAGGAACAATTAATCATGTAAGTGACAATTCGAAGATGATGTGTAATTTTCACATTTTGCTAAAGTAATGAGTGATTATGTATTAAAACAATAAATTGGTCTTGCCACTTAAGTACTCTTTCATTACACAACACCACATTCACTATACATTCTACTTTCATTAAAACTAATTGATTTCCAACTAGTCACAAATAGATTCTTGTACATATAAGTAGTTAACTTCAGATTGCGTTTCAGCTTTCCTTATTGAGTTATCAAAGACAGGATTTCTCTATGAGAATAAATGGTTCTAGTAAAACTTTAACAGCACTTTTAAGCAGAGACTGGCTGTTCATTTATATATTTGCTACAAGGATTGTGTCACTTACAGATATCTACTAAGTTATAGGTGATAACATCATATTATTAGAATGGAGATTTGTGGAGATCGTATTAATTTTAATAATTGAATTCATGAGTCGATCTTAGCTCAATCAGACAAAATAATCACCGAGTTTCCGAAGATATATGAGAATGATAAATTCTATGAAAATAGCCTGTCAGAAACAAGATCATCAAAATGAACTTGTTTCAAGCTTATGGAATAAGTACAAAGCCTACTGTAGCTTTCAGCATTTGTAAGGTTCACATGCAGTCTGAAGGTATTTTTGTGCTGGCGGAGTGTGAGGAGTAGTATGCAAAAGAATCTGAAAAAGAAAAGAACAAGAGAAAAAGTGAGCCGACAACTCAACAATTACATAGAATACACTTACTTTTAATAATGAAGGTGATCAACAACAATCAAAGATAACATAAACTTGGTTTAAACATAATCTGATAATGGAAACTCAATGTTGATAGCTTAAGGTTTCGAATGTGTTAAATAACCCCAAAATAGGTGACTTAAGAGATCAACTAAGTTTTTAAAATTTTTAATGCTTTACAATGTGTTGTTAGGGCATACTGATAATGTTCAGAATAAATGAAATTGAATTAAGTGATTAGATTATTATCTAATTCCTAAGAAATTCTTCTTTCGTAAGCGAAAAAGAACTTACTTTTTGACTATTTATAGCTGATATGATGGTAGATAAATCTAACAAGTTACTCAGAAAATCTCAAAATGAAGTCGATATCAGTAGTAGTAGTAGTAGTAGTAGTAGTAGTAGTAGTAGTAGTAGTAGTAGTAGTAGTAGTAGTAGTAGTAGTAGTAGTAGTAGTAGTAGTAGTAGTAGTAGTAGTAGTAGTAGTAGTAGTAGTAGTAGTAGTAGTAGTAGTAGTAGTAGTAGTAGTAGTAGTAGTAGTAGTAGTAGTAGTAGTAGTAGTAGTAGTAGTAGTAGTAGTAGTAGTAGTAGTAGTAGTAGTAGTAGTAGTAGTAGTAGTAGTAGTAGTAGTAGTAGTAGTAGTAGTAGTAGTAGTAGTAGTAGTAGTAGTAGTAGTAGTAGTAGTAGTAGTAGTAGTAGTAGTAGTAGTAGTAGTAGTAGTAGTAGTAGTAGTAGTAGTAGTAGTAGTAGTAGTAGTAGTAGTAGTAGTAGTAGTAGTAGTAGTAGTAGTAGTAGTAGTAGTAGTAGTAGTAGTAGTAGTAGTAGTAGTAGTAGTAGTAGTAGTAGTAGTAGTAGTAGTAGTAGTAGTAGTAGTAGTAGTAGTAGTAGTAGTAGTAGTAGTAGTAGTAGTAGTAGTAGTAGTAGTAGTAGTAGTAGTAGTAGTAGTAGTAGTAGTAGTAGTAGTAGTAGTAGTAGTAGTAGTAGTAGTAGTAGTAGTAGTAGTAGTAGTAGTAGTAGTAGTAGTAGTAGTAGTAGTAGTAGTAGTAGTAGTAGTAGTAGTAGTAGTAGTAGTAGTAGTAGTAGTAGTAGTAGTAGTAGTAGTAGTAGTAGTAGTAGTAGTAGTAGTAGTAGTAGTAGTAGTAGTAGTAGTAGTAGTAGTAGTAGTAGTAGTAGTAGTAGTAGTAGTAGTAGTAGTAGTAGTAGTAGTAGTAGTAGTAGTAGTAGTAGTAGTAGTAGTAGTAGTAGTAGTAGTAGTAGTAGTAGTAGTAGTAGTAGTAGTAGTAGTAGTAGTAGTAGTAGTAGTAGTAGTAGTAGTAGTAGTAGTAGTAGTAGTAGTAGTAGTAGTAGTAGTAGTAGTAGTAGTAGTAGTAGTAGTAGTAGTAGTAGTAGTAGTAGTAGTAGTAGTAGTAGTAGTAGTAGTAGTAGTAGTAGTAGTAGTAGTAGTAGTAGTAGTAGTAGTAGTAGTAGTAGTAGTAGTAGTAGTAGTAGTAGTAGTAGTAGTAGTAGTAGTAGTAGTAGTAGTAGTAGTAGTAGTAGTAGTAGTAGTAGTAGTAGTAGTAGTAGTAGTAGTAGTAGTAGTAGTAGTAGTAGTAGTAGTAGTAGTAGTAGTAGTAGTAGTAGTAGTAGTAGTAGTAGTAGTAGTAGTAGTAGTAGTAGTAGTAGTAGTAGTAGTAGTAGTAGTAGTAGTAGTAGTAGTAGTAGTAGTAGTAATAGTGGTATAGCGACTCACGTGCTAATGAGTTTAGTCTCATCTAACGCACTTGAGCCCTTTTGCTAAGTCATTTAGCGGACAAAGTCATCCATGCTATAACAACTTGTTATACTGTTATTGTTATTATGCTTGTATGAAATACATATGCTTGAACATTGTTTAGCGCCTACGCATGTATTCATTCTGCTAGCTTCATTATTAACTGCTTAATCTATTCGCTGACTCATCCATTTTCCTATATATATATATATGTACATTTGCACCCATTCTCTACTACTGCTACTGCTACAATTGTAGTTCGCTTGCTCATTCATTTTGCCTCTCTGCTGTCTGGTCCGAATTATCTATTAAATAAAACTGTAGTAGCTGCTTCTTTTTGCCTTCTGATCTCAAACACCGTTGAAGATAATACGATAACGGTTGGGGGGTGATTAATTATCGAAGCACAGCCACTACAGTGGTAATAGTTACTTAAGTATTCAATTAGAAAAGGTGATGGAACTATAATTTTAACTGAAGAAAATCAATTCATTGTAAGAAAACAGTATCCATCAACTTGATTAGTGATTTAGTATAGATTATGTATATGATATATATACTCTCGTTGGGAATTATTTTAATCTAACTGACATTAACTAGGCTAATAAGTGATAATTATGATTATAAACATTAGTTATTATTATTATCACTTAGATAGAATCAGGAATCTGAACAATCTATTAATCTTTATCATTCAAAGGTATAATTAAAAAAAGTGACTGGTCTTTCCTTATAGAAATTTCAAATCTCTATTATTTTGGATTGATTTAATTAGATTCGATTAAAAAATAGATACCATTGACTTCATGTGAATTATAAGTATGCATAATGTGTTGGTTGGAGGTAGTATACAATAAACCCTGGTCGACATAGGTTTCGTGCTATTTGGTACAAGTTAACAAGGTGTACCTGTATTCTTGAATGGACTGATGTTCCCTGGCAGATTTGATCCCGTGATAATCAACTTCTCAGTCTGAGATGTTATCACTGAGTTATTTAGTCGGCAACTGATATGCTGTAGGATTGAGATGTATTCACAATCGATTAAGCACTAGGTGATGATCAGTGTCATTTTTATTAAGTTCTACCTTGTGCTAGTTGAATCCTATCGATTACGTTGAAAAGATGTAAAGTCAGAAATGACGGTTTTCAACAGGTTATGTTAGTTTATATAATCAATATGAGAATACTAAATCGATATATATATATATATATATTGATACGCTACTCTTAGGAGTTTTGCAATCACAGTTTGGACATGAGTTACAGGTAGGACAATTACTGAAACTAGATTTATGCTGTAGATCTATCACATTTCTAAGCTAAATTTTTCAGCTAAAATTTGATAAATATCGTTATTTATTAGTGTAAATTGTAATTTGTTATCCATGTTGTTAGGCTTGGTGAAAATTAGATAGTAGTTGCTTAGTTACCAGAAGATAAATGGTTTAATTTAGATTAGAAGGTTTTGAGAACTTATAAAATAATGGTTTGTTGTTAGGATGGATTAATGGCGAGACTCTAATTTATGGACGACCTTTGAACGAATCCTAAGTGACCCTGAGAAATATTAACCAATCAGCAAACAGTCAGTATAGAGTAAAAATGTGTTATACAAAACCAAGGAAATAAAGTGGATACACTTCTTATACGTGGTTCAAAGACTTGCCAAGGTTAGAAAGAGGTTCAGAGGATCTAGAATCGTAATGCATGCAGTAGAGGAAATCATCCACATGACTACAGGATAGTCGGCCTCTGGAGCCATGATAAAGTCTTTAAAACTCTTCCAGCCTCGACCACATAGCTTCAATATTGTTTATGTGCATTCCGGTTGTTGAGTGCACAAAATGCTACTTGTGGATAACGACAGGATGCACATAACCAAGCCTATGCAGGAGTCTGTACAATCTCCAATCATCCGTATATATTGTAGTGCCTGGCTTCAGCCAGTGTTACTGGTGCTTTTATTATTCAGTTCGCAACAATTGTCGCATTTTGCCTTAGTTAGGAATTATATATGGGGTTTTCATCACGAACTGACATCAGCTATAATGCCAGAAATTTTATTTAGCCAAATGGCCATCCATCAGGATGAAAGGCTTTCACGTTAAAATCCGAGATCTTTTATCTCATACCTGATTGATTCGTCCACAAATTATAGTCCCGCCGTTTTATTTGTTATAGCCGCTCAATTATCACGTTTTGTATAAAATCCCCTGTGAACCGATCGTACGTTAGCATAAGCACTGAAGTTGGCACTGTAACCTTGAAATCTCTAAAAGGCTTCTGATTGGCTCGTCCATAAATTAGAGTCTCGCCAATTATTCATGAGACCATATCATTTAAAGTACAAATAATAATATAATAAGAATGTTGTAAAATGTTACTTGTCTAAAACTAGAATGTTTCTGGTGTTGTATCATGGTATTACATTATAACAGAGGAAAAGATGGAAGTATTTAGTCAAATTAAATGCATAAATGTTTGAATTCATTTACTATCTTGGTGTTTGTTTGAAAATTTATAAAGTAATTTCACTCTTAATAGGATATACTATGAATAAACTACACAGTTATCACATAGACTAGTTCAGCTGAAATAACTCTTCATGTTAATCATTAGTCACTAGAGGGTTTCGCGGATATTCTAGTAATTTAATAGTTGAATTCATGAGTCAATTGAAGCTAGACCGCTATGGAATACCTGGAAGCAGTGGACGGCCGTTTCGTCCTAGTATGGGACTCCTCAACAGTGCGCATCCACAATCCCGTCCGCAGTCGCGGCCCAGGGTTAGCTGTTGACTACCTCCAACCACCATTCTAACAATTATATCTAAGTTGGACATCCATTATCGTTCTCGAATCAGCGAATTGTCATTTTGTCCCAGTACAGAATACCTTAGCAGTGAGTGTTCATGGCCTCATAACAGAAATCAAATCTAAGGCCTTGAGTTTCGTGTACGAACATTTATTCTCTAAATCACTGAACCAGGATTCAACAGTATACATTGGTCTAAGAGCCACAAGTTTATATGTAAAACCGAAAGTTCTGATTTCCATGTACACTGTTAAGGTGTTCCACACTGGGATAAATTAGCAATCCGATGCTTCCAGATAGTTAATAGCTTTCTAATGTAGATTGGTCTATGATCTTAACCAAACTCGAAAATCTCCACAACCCCCTACCTATATATATATTATTATTATTATTATTATTATTATTATTATTATTACTCAAATACCTCAATATTTATATTTCTATGCACAAAAACGTCAAATCATTTAATTTCAACCAAAGATGATCTCTTAAACATATAGATAAAATAAATCAATTACAAAACTCAAAGATCTAGATAAACATCTTCAATAATCTGTGTCATGTTTTGGTTGAAAGCATTTTCTTAAAGAAATAATTTGACTGAAAGATAAAATCCCTCCACCACCAAAAAAAATTAATAATGATTAACCAAGTCAGTCACTAAGCAACTAACTGACAACTAAAAATCACGCCTTATATCTATCTATGTATATATACACATAGATACATCTATGACGAGTAAACAAGATGATGATTATTATTTTTTTAATCTCATGTGTAAAAAAAAGAGAAGAATTCGTCTCATTTTTCTTTATTTGAAAAAAAAATGTTTGTTTGTCTTTCATTTTGAGACTTTATTTAGTAAAGAGAATTATGTATCAGTCATTAATAGATATATATATGTGAATTACGATTAGTTATACTCTTCTAAAATGAACAAAGGAATGATATAAATCCAATCAGGGGAACTTTAGAATTCTAATCAATAAACTGAAACAAGATAGGATCTAAAATAAATATGTATTGACTTATCAATACAATTGGGATCAGATCAGAATAGGATCAGTATCAAAAAGCGGTTTTGGGGATATGATAGTAATTTTAATAGTTAAGATTATGAATCAATGGAAACTAGATCATCATTGAAAACCTATAAGCACTGGATGGCCGTATCGTCTTATTGTGGAACTCCTCAGCAATAAAAAAAGACTTGGAAAAACATGGCAAAAACAGTATTAACTTGATCAATCGAAATTCCTTTGGTATTAAGCCATAATGAGAAACTAATTGAAGAGAAATACAATTCAATTCAACTTGGGTATTTAATAAATTTAATGTATATAGGATAGAGTACTTATTTTCCAGCAGATTAATCAGATACAGTATTACCTTATGGTGTCGTTTGTTCATGAAGATACCTTTTATAAATAGCAACTGTAAAAAAAAACTACGTCTCTTGCTACATTTAGACTAACAGTTTTTAATCTAATCAAATTATATTATATCTTGATGCCTATTCACTTAGAAACTTTAATTCTAACTTCATATTTTGACAACTAATATATCTAAACCTTAGAAACAAAACTTAATGTTCGAATCTTGGATTTTTGTTCAGTGAGGTTTTCTTTGATAAAATTCCAATAGAGGTAATCTGTTTTGGCAAAAAGTGCGGGAAAAATCAGTATGAATGATGTTAGATACAGTTCTATTGAAATGTAACAAGAAATATATTTTGATGGAGTTTTGTTCTCTGAGCTGGTCACGACCAAAACCATCCAGCTCAGAGAACAAAACTCCATCAAAATCATCCACCTGAGCTCCAAATCTTCTCCACCATCTCAACAAGAAATATAATTGTGGGGAGAACAAAAAGATCATCATATTCTTTTAACACTCTAGTACACTGAAAGTATATCATTGATTATACTTATGTATTTAACTGTTATTTTGTTGTTATTACTAATGTAATTGTAGAAAATTTACATTTTGTACTATGAAGTGATGATTCGTTTTAAGTGTGAGTTACAACTTCATATCTAGAAGAAGGTTAGATTTATTAGTGATCAGTTAAAAAAACCAACCAGCAAATAAGTGGATTATTCATTCTTCATTTTAATAGAGCATACAAAAAGACAAATATTCTTGTCATAATCTAAGGGGCATATATCAGTTAAATAAATTTAAGTTTTTGATTGAGATCATGAACCGACTGATGTTAGACCACTGTTGGAAATCTAGAAGCACTAAAAGCACTAACACCATTGAATGCCAGCTCAGTGGTCCAGTAGGTTCAGCGTTAGCGCGCGAGACTGAAGGCCCTGGATTCGAATCCCGCGAGCAGGATCGTGGGTGTGCACTGCTGAGGAGTTCCACAATAGGACGAAACGGCCATCCAGTGCTTCCAGGTTTCCAAAGGTGGTCTAACATCAGTCGGTTCATGATCTCAATCAAAAACTTGATAATCTCTACAACCTCGATACTGATAGATAAATTTAAATGTGGTAGACAGGTGAAAATTTTCCATGAAAGCTAAACTAATGTTTCAGGAACGCACTTCCTCAATCATTGGAGACTAAAATGTGCTTCATATTATGTATATAAAAACATCATATGAAAAGTGATTTTTATATATATATATATATATATATATATATATATATATATATATATATATATATATATATATATACATATATATATACATAAATTAGGAAGAAGCAAAATATATAACTTAGTTATATTTTCATTGTGATCTTAGGTTCAAATGTCGGTGGTTTAGTCGTGAATCGACATTGCTGATGAGTCAGTCCTCGAATAGGACGAGAGATTTGTTCGCTGCTTCCAGGTTTCCTATTGTTGTCTAGATGAGATAGGTTTGCAATTTGGATAATGTTCAGTATTTTTCATATCCTCTATACTGTTAGTGATATCTTTCGGTTATTGTGGTTAATCTATTGATTCTGTAAATTGTTATTCACTGAACTCTTGATTCTCTACTTCCAGTTTATTTAAATCATAAATCGATCAATGCTAGAAGAAGCATTCGAAGACAGCTTTTTCCTAGTAAATGACTACTTGACAGTGTGAATCCAGAATTCCGCACACGGGGATCGAGTCCAGGACTTTTAGCCTTGCATACGAACGCTTAATCCATACCTTTAACAATCCGAAATTATGCGCGATAATCTTCCATTGTCTTCAATGAGTCATTGCCACCCCCCCGCCGACACAGTTGGAATCAATTATTCACAGCTTATCACTAGAACCCTAGGACATGCTTATGAAGCTCAACAATCTCCACAATCTTTGTTTTATAACTATAAGTTCAATAAATTCAATTGATATTGCTTGCTTGTATCTTCTCATTGTCGTTCAGGACTGCAATTATTCAGTCTGTTATTGGTGAATGTGCATACTGTTTGAAGATGGATAGTGGCTAACAGTGGAATTCAGTTTGGAGCGCGTTTCGTCCTCTTTTTGGACTCATCAGCAGGGTGCACCTGCATATCAGAGTTGATGTTCACTCTGGGACTCAAATCCAGTATCATTCGCTTCAAATATAATATATATATATATATATATATATATGTATTTATACTATAAATCAAAATAAGCAAGTCTATAATTTCAAAGAAATTTCCTACTGTAAGACACATTTCAATAACAAGACTTTCCTCAAGAAGGCAAACAAAAAGAAACAAGACGATTAATAATGTTTAAAACGATATGTTTAGATGTAATTATTACGTATAAATCTATTATTATTATTATTATTATTATTATTATTATTATTATTATTATTATTATTATTATTATTAACTACTTTTATAATACTGTACGCTTTTTATCACCGAGTTAATGTTTTCGTGATTAAATGAGTATTGTATCTTGGATAAAAACAATGAATCACCAGGGCAAGAATAATCGTTGCATTTACATAGAGTATATATGTGTATATATGTATAAAAGAGATTAAATTCATACATCCATGGGTAAAATTAGGAAGGAAATATATTTTGGTGATTGCGCATATCTCTCTTTCTCTCTGTGTGTGGATGAGAATTCTTAATAAATGATAACCATTTTATAAGCATATATGTATAACTGTTTATGTAAGGAAATAATCATAACAGAAACAATAATAGTAATAATAATAATAATGTTCGGTAAGAGACAAAAATATGACAAATGTGTTCCAATACAATATGTAAATCCGTTCGCACACACACACACATACATTGTACAATACAAATATGTGTATGCAGTTAAAAATGAGCAATTTTTCCAGGATTTCTAAAGAAAAATCTAGGTGAGAAATGAAAAAGAGATTTACTATTTTATGGGTATTTTTCTCATGGAAGGAAAATATATGGCAATTCATTTCATGTGAACTCATAACATTTTTAAATTCAAAATGCGTACATGAAATGAAATCGATAAGGTTAACTTTAATGGGGAACAATAATAATTTTTTAATTATACCATCGTCTTTTCATTGTACTTACTTCATTTTCAGAAAGGTTTTGTGGAGATTTTAGAAATTTCACAGATTGAAATCATGAGTCAATTGAAGCTAGACCACCATAGAAAACCTAGAAGCACTGGACGGCCGTTTCGTCCTAGTATGGGACTCCTCAGCGGTGCGCATCCACGATCCCGCACCCCGCAAGATCCGAACCCACGACTTATCAGTCTCGCGACAAGCGCTTAATAGTATTATTATTATTATTGTTTTACCTTGCAGAAGAAAAAAACATGCCCATGATTTATGAGCAAAGATGGATAGTGCCTAGCAATCGAATTCAGTTTGATCCGTGTTTAATTGTATTTGGGACTCGTCAGCTAAGTGTACCTACATCACAGAGTTGATGTTCATTTTCGGAGTAGAAACCACTACCGTTCGCCCCAAATGCCATCACGTTATCCACTTAACTATTGAGTCCTGATAGTCAACTGCTTGTGCAATAGGGTGAAGTTTTAAATTCACTTAGTGCCGTGCTTATAAACTTAGTGACTTTAGGCAATATCGAGGTAGTCCGCCCAGGACGCATATATACCAACAAGAAACTGATCAATTGCAGTCCTAAATAACGATAGAAAGACAGAAGTAAACAACACCAAGTGAATTTATACCTATGATTGAACTATTCAGCAGATTAAACAATGAAGAAACATGGATAATAAGAATAAAGTGAGATACGAAATGGTGAATGAAATGTCTCTAAGAAAAGAATAAAATTTTATAAATAAATTATTGGATTGAAGTATACATAGTAGAATTACGAGAGATGTTTATGGAATTTTCAGAATGTACAAACGATTAGGAAGATATATTGTCATTATTTAGAATTTGTTAAAATAGGAAATATTATGGAAAAATACAAACTTTTTAGTGAAATATATTAAATCGGTGGAATTTGTTATAAATTAAGGATTTACACGACGTAGTACTGTATTTTACTCAAAGGATTTTTAGCTACTTATAAGTAGTTCAAGTTTTTAATGAAATATTTTGTTGTCTCAACAATTATATCTACTGGCTTTCTTAACATTAAATCTATATATCTTTGCCATGAACATAGAATTCTAGATTTTATAAAAAATACTTCAGTGAACATGTAAAAATGAGAATCTATGAGTATACGAGTTCGTATATTATATTCGAGTGTCAATTTGATTGTATCAGATGGGTTTTTTGGATACTATTGTAATTTCAATGGTTAAGATCATGAGTAGTTTATAACATGATTCACTTGTTAACGGCATAATTTGAATGTGAAATCTACTTATTTGGCACAAAAATAAACAGTGATGCGATCCATATATTTACTATAATAGAAATTAATAGATAATCCCAGTGTATATACTATTTTTAACGGTTTGTAGGTTTTAACCTTTTCTTTTAGTTAAAAAGGATTTTATTAGCAAACAGGCTGACAACTGGATGTGTTTATTATAAGCAATTTGAACTTAGTATCAAAAGATAAGTGAAGCGACGTTAAACAAATTTTTAAGCAGTGCTTAATCTAAGTAATATACTGAATTACAGAGATTTTGTAGATTATATAGCTTTTCTAATATCGACTACTCACATTATTATTTATATCAGGTAGACAAATATCATGGCTCTAATAACGTAGAAATAGTAGTACGTGGTAAGCTTAAGCAAACATATTTTCCATCAAGAAATTACATTCCCCATAAAACTACAATAAATAGATAGATATTTGATTTTATAATTTAAGTCATGAACTCCTTTTAGCTGGGTCATCATTGGAGATCAGGAAGCACTGAACGATGGTATCGTCCTAGCACTAGGTTTCTCAGTTGTGTGCACCTAGGACTCCACATCTGAGAATTGAAATTGGGGACTTTGGCTTCAAGCGCAAAGGCCTAACCTCTGGACCACTAAGCTGGGATTGATTGGTGAATATGTCTAAATTCAATTAATTTACGATACTGCACAACTCTTATTCATTATCTGTGATAGACAATTATCTGACATTCGATTTGGTTGAACTTCACTAGTCACTCCAAGAGTTCCATCTTGAATCTGGTCACTAGTGAGCATATGATTAATGTTAGTATACGGAGTAGAGTTTGTAGAGATTTTAGAATCTTTATGGTTTGAATTATGAACTGATCTTGGCTCCTTAATTGTCAGACCATTTTCATTCAAATAGATCGGATAATGCCATTTGGCACTACTTGAAATGTTTCACTTAACAAAAAATAATTGTTTCTTTACAAAGTAATTTGATCTTATCATTAAACGTTAGTAATATATAGAGTGTTTGAGTTTTTAACTTTGTTATCCTATAAATAAATTCCATAACAAGTCATTATATCCTGTTTTATACTTGCCGTTTATTTAATCCATTCCAAATATTTGATTTTATGATGCACACCTAACAACAACTGATCATTACATCAATTCATTCATCACACAGAACAAACTATATAATATTCTTACTCCTTATAAAAACTTTACTTTACCCGGTTAGGCTGTTAAATAATTTAATGTTAAATCTATTCGATCCTAAATCATTATCAAATTAGTCTAGTTACACCACGATATAAGCCTAGAAAGTATATGATATTACATTAGATTAGAATATCTAATTACTGAATTAGAATGGAGCTTACAAACTAGTAAGCCTGACAAAAGAGCACCTGATTCAGTCTATATCCCACAAGCTTTCTAAACATAGTAGCGATTAAATAACTCTGAAGACTAAGGCTACATGAAAGATCAATAAGAATTACATAAGATTGTTGACGTCAGTATTCATGAAAATAAGTTCACCAACTTATACATAGTATACAGAGATAAGTAAGTTGACGAAATAATTTGTTAGTTGGGAATGGGAACTGTAATTCGCTCTAACATGCTAAGAGCTGACGCAAATATAATTATCTGATACAATAAAATGGTATGATACACATTACTATGTTATTAATAGAATATTATTAATATATAAAATTCTGGTAAATTATTGTCAAATGCGAATACAGACTACATCAGAAATATGAACGACTTCTCGTGCAGTTTTCGATTATTCACTGTCAAAGTAGTGTTCGTACTCATTAAATCACAAAAGTGATGACTTCTGAAGTTATGATATTGGAATACACTTTTCGAAGTATCACATATGATGAAGTAAGACAACTGACGGTCATTAAAACGTATATATTGGCTAAATTCAATGAAAAAACACATTTGAAATAAAAAATAAAGTGAAAACACTGATAAGTAATTATCAATATATGATTGTGAAGATTATTGAGTTCCGCTGAAATCATGAATCAGTCAATGTCAGACCACCAATGAAGACCCGAAAGCACTGGATGGCCGTTTCGTCCTAGTATGGGACTCCCTAGCAGTGTGTATCCGTGACCCCCAGACGGGGCTCAAACCCAGAAAACTCGGTCTAGAGCGCGAATGCTCAACCTTCAGATCACTGAGCCGGTATCCAATGGAGTTGATGTCTAACATCGAAGGCCCTAGGTTCGAAGCCCATGCCAGGTTTTGTGTCTGCTCACTGCTGAAGAGTACTATATTAGAACAAAACGTCCGTTCAGAGCTTCTAGGTTTTCAATAGTGGTCTACGATTGATTGAGTCATGATTTCAGTGAAAATAAAGAGTAAAATTTTTTTGAATATTTCTTTATAACAGTGATTTAATGGTACAGTTAGATTAATTTATCGTTTATACGAGATAACACAATAATACTAAATGTGATATATGGTATACAAGATAATCGGTAGGGCACACCACACCTCTGTACTAGCCAGATACACGATTCACGGCTGACAATTAAAAACTTAACCACAAAGACAAAACAGTTAGTTTACACACAATGAATTCAGAGTAGGAATCACATTTACAATATCAAGATTGTGACTTATATTATTGATTATGAAATGTTTGTTTATTTTCATTCACTCACGAATCCCAGTCAACTATTACATATCTTAAATTGTATTTAATGCATAGAATGAAATTGCTGACTAAATCCATTAGAATAATGGAACCATTCATGAACTATTATGATTTATTAACAAATCGACTATACATTTTAGTCTATTCAATGATGGATTTAATTACTTCAAACTAATGAATCTCATTACCACATAACATTTCATGGAATCATATTCACACAGAATAATAAAGTATAATGTAATCTAATGTAAATAATGATAATCATAAACTTTAGACTCATCATCATGAGGGGTAAGAGGCGTAAGTAAGTAAATAATTCAGTAATACATAACTATAATTAGATGTTGGAATAGCAGAATTATTGATAGTATAAGCGATAGTAGGAAAGATTATTTGTATATTTATTTATTCGAACACATATATATTGTCAGAAGGGGTTTTGTGGAGATTTTCGAAATTTCACTGGTTGAAATCATGAGTCAATTGAAGCTCGACCACCATGGAAAACCTGGAAGCACTGGACTGCCGTTTCGTCCTATTGTGTGATTCCTTAGCAGTGCGCATCCACGATCCAGTGCTTCCAGGTTTTCCATGGTGGTCTAGCTTCAGTTGACTCATGATTTCAACCAATGACATATACGTTGGTACAATGGGGCACCGAATACAAGACTACGGATATATCATACCAACTAGTGCTAAATAACACAAACCTAAGTCCACAGTTTCCTATCAACTGATTTCATCTATTAGGTTTGAATTACATCATGTTCGAAAGCTTTTAAAAGACAAAAAAGAAAGATATTTAACTATTTTACTGAACGAAATTCATGCCATTTTATAAATAAATCGAAGTTGTGTATAATAACCACTAAATTTCAACTTAATGGTGATTGTATAAACATGAAAATCTTATACGTTATTCTGTTTAAAGTTGTTAGGTGAATGCATCATTATAGATAGTAAACAATAAAGGAAAATCTCTTTCTAACATTTTGTAATTTCTAAAAGATGATTTACTTGTTCAAGGTGTATCGGAAAAATCGTTTTAATCATCTTTTATATTCACAGTTGAATTCACGAGTCGATCTAAGCTAGACCATCATTGAAAACCTGGAAACATTGAACAGCCGTTTCGTCCTAGTATGAGACTGCTCCATAATCCCGCATGAATGATGCGAACCCAGAACCTTCGGTCTAACGCGCAGACGCCTAACCTCTAAACCACTGAGTCGATATCCAACGGTGTTTAATGTCAAACTTCAATCAATCCATGACCTTCCGCAACCCTTCATTTATCCACAAATTCCTATACTGATCATTTTTATCTTAAAATGGTAGGGTCCTTTGTTTTTCGTGCAATAATAAATTTATTCGATTCATAATTTGTCCGTCTTGTAAACATCTGTGTTGTCTAAATACTATAAACGTATCAAGTTATTCTATTATTTATCCAAGGATAGAAAATATCCGTGAAATTACAGCTCATCTACTCTTCAATATTCAGTATGTGTGTAATGTCTAGCATCTTTCTGTTCAATTACTGAGTGATTGCTGCATATAGGAGTATAATTTCTTCTGAGAATTTCACTTCAATCTCCAAGTTTCACTATATTATTTTTTTACATTTAACAATGTAGAATGCGCTACAGTAACGTCTTCATAGAAGACATAAATAAATAGTTTTAGGTGACTGAAATTTATTTATTTATTTGAATACATGAATATTGGTTCAAAGGGGCGACAAAAGTCACTTGATTTGTGTGTGGGCTGTCATACTGCTCGCGTGCCCAGACAAAATCAGGTGGTTTTCGTAGGTGGTCACGTTGACCTAAAGGTCTGATCCATAAGGCAGTGGAGCAACGTCAGGAGATGCAGTCCAATTGTAACCAATCACCAATAATTGGTTCATACTCCATTTGTTCTCTCAGGATATTTGATCCCATGTACACCATTGGTTTGAAATCAGGGTTCTTAAACTCCTCTAGGTGGATCCTCTATATTCACCAACTTGGTTAAAGCACCGGACATTCACTTTTCGTCCTCTCAATTTCGTAAACAACAGTAATGCCGTGAGAAGGCAGTGAGTAGGACTTATCTTACAGTGACTGTGTGAACATTTTGAGAGGGAGAGCTGACTCGCCTTAATCTCAACTGTACTAGTGCATTTAAGGGCCTAATGTATAATGAAGCTAATAAGTGACTACGGTTGAAGCTAGTCTATTCAATGATGGATTTAATTACTTCAAACTAATGAATCTCATTACCACATAACATTTCATGGAATCATATTCACATAGAATAATAAAGTATAATGTAATCTAATGTAAATAATAATAATAATGATAATTATAAACTTTATAATCATCTCATATATTGTGTATTATGTAATTTACCATATCGTATTTCAGTAATATTATCTAAATTTACTTTTTTTCAATTGAGTTCTATACAATTTAATCATTATACATTATGTACACACAATAGTACTATTTACATATTAGAAAAGAAGAAAAGAAAAGAAAAGAAAAACAACACTTGTTACCAAGTAAAAATAGAAAAAAAGGAACACACTAAAAGTTTTGTATAAAAGTCTTCGAAGAAACAATTGAGTTATTATCATATACTACTTAACTATTAAAAAGAGTATTCAATCATGAATAGATCCGTTTGGACTGTTATAACATGTACAATGTTATTAGTTATTATATGTAATTTTAATACAAGTAAGTAATTACTTTTTATGATGTATTAAGTGTTTTAAATTCATTTGATATTGTTTACTTTTATCTTTTCATTGTTGTTTAGGACTGTAATTGACCAGTTTCTTGTTGGTATAAGTACATCTTGTGTAGACTGCCTCGATAATGCCTTAAGTCACAAGCATTATAAACAAAGATGAACTCAGTGGCTAGATGGATAACGTGACGGCGTTTGAACCGTACGGTACTGAGTTCAAGTCTTGTAGTGATCATCAACTCTGAGATGCAGGTTTATCTATCTGATGAGTCCCATGTAGGACGAAATGCGCGTCCTGGATTTCAATACTAAACACTATTCATTTTTGCTTATTAGATATTTTTCTATAAATTTTCTTAAATGTAATTCTGATTGAATTTAAATAAAAACAATATTCATTGACATAATGAGCCATATTAGCGGTTACCATAACTTATAGTGTGTATCTACAAAAAGCAATAATCTTTTGTTAATGACGAATACATTTTATCATAGAAAATAGTGAAATTATAAAAGTAGACCAATGTATTTGACTTAATGATTGAACAATTTAAAGGTTTTTGGGTTGCCTGAAAATTGTATATTCAATCCTTTCAAGAGTTTAGCGTATGTACTACGGCATAGTAACCAACTTTTATATAATGTATATTCAAAGTTTCCTAGCACTATATAGTTTCGCAGATTACGTTAATCCGTGATCCAACCTTGATTTAAACTCAAAAGTGATTACATAACTCCATTTCATTTTTAATACTTTACTCTAGTGAAAGCTGCTCCAGCTAATAAGTAAGTTAAACAGTATAAATTATGATGTATGGAATTCCAACCTCTTTAAATAGAAGATCCATTTCATGAACTAATGATGATTCTAATTTCAAAAGATTTTCAAACTAGAATGTAGTATACATTCATTTTGTATTGTTTGTTTGAATATTCTCCATTGATGTTTAGGACTGTAATTGATTAGTCTCTTATCGATATATGTGTATTCTGTATACATTACCTCGATATTACCTTAAATCAAAAGCATTATAAGCAAAGATGGATGGGATGCCGGTACATTCAGCTAAAGAGTTCCAAGTGTGGACGAAAAGCACATCCTAGATTCCACTGTTAGTCACCATCCATCTTAAAATGTAGCACGGTTAGATAAATAATAAACGTTGTTCTGTTTTACTGTTAAAGTTTCAAGCTCAACATTTATTACATTAAGTAAAATTATTAGGTTGGAAATAAACTCTGTTGAGCAATATAGATTTACATGTATTTTATACATGTAACATTGTATTGTTCATTTTCACTGTAATAGATAATTGAGAAACAACCGGAATGTATGATCAGTGAGCGTAACAGGACTAAAGATTGAAATAGTTTTGACTTGATAGAAGGTGGTGAATATCTAGAGAAAGTCTAAAAAATAAATGAATTGGTTGGATACTGGGTCATTGGTCTAAAGGTTAAGCGTTCGTGAGCGAGACTGTTAGGTCTTGGGTTCGAATCTTGCGGAGCGGACTCGTGAATGCGCACGTCTGAGGAGTACCATACTAGGACGAAACGGTCTTCCAGTACTTTCAGGTTTTCCATGGTGGCCTAGCTTCAATTGACTGGTGAATTCAATTATTAAATGAAACTTTATTATCTCCAGAAGATCAGCTGATATATTATGTATGATTAAACAATAACAAAAGTTTACTGTTTCCAAATGTTTTGAAAGAAATCAGGGATCAAGATCTGACTGATGACATAAAGATTACTTTTTTAGTTGCTATGACAATATTGCATGACAATATTCATTTCAAGAAGACGGGTATCTTGTTCATTATGATAAGAAGACATATTTTCTACAGATTAGTTTGTGCATATGACCTTATAAATTACATTTTGAAAGGATCTCTATATTTGATCAAGTTGTTCCACTGCTGAGTGTCATATGGTACAAACCATTCAGTATCTAATTTATGTCCTGTTTGAAGACTGGATATAATACTGGTTCATTTAATGAAAGGGTCTGTACAAACTCAACGGACATTATTGTTTAGCATGGTGTTTGAAACTCAGAAACATGTCAATGAAAGGAAAGTATTGATTTGATACTGATAGAAGTTGGCATGAAATTGATTTATTGTTATTACATTGAACAGAGATAAGTTATTCAAATATCTTAACTAATTACTGGAAAGAACTTATTTTGCATAACCAATACTAGCTCAACCAATGGGTAAGTCATTGAATATAATGCTAATACTGTGCTAATTATTAATAGGTTTGATTAACACTGGTCATTTGACAGATCTTATGAATTAATATTTTGAGTCTTTCTTAAAATATACCATTCAAACTGAGCTGTTTGTAAGACAAGCAGATGGTTTTACAGTATATGTGATTGCAGATACTAGTAATCAATTAACCGTGGAGAATTCACGATGTAGTGTCAAGTTGTTTGATTGTTTTTGAAGTTATCACTAGGATTTGAATATTCTCAGATGTAAGTGAGAGTTTCGTCTACGACTGGTACTCTCATCGAAATATTTAGTTCTAAATCTGTAACATTCTATGAGCTTACCATTCTTACAACTGATCAAGTTTCAAAACTGTTTCATTCATAAAAATCAATTAATTTGTTAAGGATTTAATCCTTTCTAACCATTAATGTACCATACAAAGTTACATTTTTAATCACAGTGCAAGAAAGTCTTCTTGGTATTTTCTCTACTGATACATAAATATCGGGTATGAAGTTTGGTAACAACAAAATTTCGGATAAAAGTTAACTTTTATTTAAAAAAACTGATGTCGACGGAAGTTTTAGGAATATCCAATAGGAGTTGATCGCAGATAAACCTATATTACTGAGGACTTAAACATGAGTCTAATCTAATTGCACATTGACTGCACCCTACGAGGATCGCTTACTAAGGTAAGTGTACCACAGTCCAGCACAAACGGTTCACCTACACATATATGATTTCAATATACCGCTTTCCATTAAATACATAACCAGAGAGCAAATCTCTCTGGATTATTATGTTGGTTAAATAAGATCAGATGATTAATCACCCTGAAGTTTTAGATAGTAAAGTCCATTGATCTGTTCAGTATGTAGTTTAACCAACCAGTGATGCAATATTCGGTTTGAACAGCAGTATCAGAGGAACATGAATGGAATCTACGAAGCTAAAAACAATGGTAACGTATACATGGAAAAATGAAATACATATACGAAAGGATGATAGGACTTACAGAACAAATATTAAAAGGAGAAAAGTTAATTGATGACGAACAACAAAGACCGTCGAGCTACTGGAAATATCCGCGAAATTGAAACTACATTTTTGAGGGTTATTTCTTCTTGAAAAAATCTAAAACAAAATGAATTAGAAAACAGCGAATTTTTCGAATCGGGTGTGAGAAAACAAGCAAAATTGACAAAAACATGAGATCGAGAAACCGATGAATCAGTGGACAGTTATATACAAAGAAAAATCATGACAAACAAACATACACAATCTATAATCACAATGAAGAAAAACAAGGGACTGTTAAAAAATTTGATAAACAATATATATAACCAACAAATTTAAAAACGAAGAAATATTAATCCAATTGTGATGATATTATAATTAACAGTACACAAGTAACAGCCAAAATTACGCAAGTCATTCAAAAATATTTTCTCAGATTGTATAAATATCTAACGATTGTTAATTTGATCACGATAACCGGAATACAAATCTCTTCACTGATATCATTAGTGGGCGTATGAAACCCGATGAAATTCATTGCAATCCTCTTCTTATTTGTTTCTGGGAGGATGCTTCGATGATCCTCGATCCATGAGAATCTAGTACTACAAGCGCCTTTCGTGCTTCTTTGCACATCATCAGTGCAACTCCGTGTGTGTCAAAAGCACTTTAATTCTGATGACCAGATTACTACAGCACCCCTACCTAAGATAATCTCTATTGTTTAGATTGCTTCCAATGTGTTTCACAAATGCCAAGTAGTGACAGATTGTATCTTCCGAATTCCACAAATACTTGAATGATCAATCAGGTTTCCCACATTGTGCGAACATTGCATGTACTTATAATAATTGATGTCCTGGTTGTCAGGAGAGCCATTGATCTGGTGATTTCTTAACAATCGTAGCTTTCATCATCAAGCTTCGTAACACATACGAGAGAAGACTATTCGACACTTAAGACAGAGCTTCAATCGGTTTAAATGATAATTTCTGGTTAGCGTTTGCTTAGCCAGGTTGATTGGTACGGGATGTTGTCACTAGACCCATCTCCAATCCTTGCCTCTCATCCGAGCATGGGATTGGGAGTAAGCTTAGAATTGATCGATGTGAGGTTGTATTAATGATTGACTGTTGTTGATCTGATCAAAATACTTGAATGTGAATTCTTATCCACATATATGATGCTATTAATATTAACAGTACTAAAGCTCCAGCACCTCCTGCGTAAGTTATTCAAAAATATTTTCTTAGATTGTATAAATATCTAACGATTGTTAATTTGATCACGATAACCGGAATACAAATCTCTTCACTGATATCATTAGTGGGCGTATGAAACCCGATGAAATTCATTGCAATCCTCTTCTTATTTGTTTCTGGGAGGATGCTTCGATGATCCTCGATCCATGAGAATCTAGTACTACAAGCGCCTTTCGTGCTTCTTTGCACATCATCAGTGCAACTCCGTGTGTGTCAAAAGCACTTTAATTCTGATGACCAGATTACTACAGCACCCCTACTTAAGATAATCTCTATTGTTTAGATTGCTTCCAATGTGTTTCACAAATGCCAAGTAGTGACAGATTGTATCTTCCGAATTCCACAAATACTTGAATGATCAATCAGGTTTCCCACATTGTGCGAACATTGCATGTACTTATAATAATTGATGTCCTGGTTGTCAGGAGAGCCATTGATCTGGTGATTTCTTAACAATCGTAGCTTTCATCATCAAGCTTCGTAACACATACGAGAGAAGACTATTCGACACTTAAGACAGAGCTTCAATCGGTTTAAATGATAATTTCTGGCTAGCGTTTGCTTAGCCAGGTTGATTGGTACGGGATGTTGTCACTAGACCCATCTCCAATCCTTGCCTCTCATCCGAGCATGGGATTGGGAGTAAGCTTAGAATTGATCGATGTGAGGTTGTATTAATGATTGACTGTTGTTGATCTGATCAAAATACTTGAATGTGAATTCTTATCCACATATATGATGCTATTAATATTAACAGTACTAAAGCTCCAGCACCTCCTGCGTAAGTTATTCAAAAATATTTTCTTAGATTGTATAAATATCTAACGATTGTTAATTTGATCACGATAACCGGAATACAAATCTCTTCACTGATATCATTAGTGGGCGTATGAAACCCGATGAAATTCATTGCAATCCTCTTCTTATTTGTTTCTGGGAGGATGCTTCGATGATCCTCGATCCATGAGAATCTAGTACTACAAGCGCCTTTCGTGCTTCTTTGCACATCATCAGTGCAACTCCGTGTGTGTCAAAAGCACTTTAATTCTGATGACCAGATTACTACAGCACCCCTACCTAAGATAATCTCTATTGTTTAGATTGCTTCCAATGTGTTTCACAAATGCCAAGTAGTGACAGATTGTATCTTCCGAATTCCACAAATACTTGAATGATCAATCAGGTTTCCCACATTGTGCGAACATTGCATGTACTTATAATAATTGATGTCCTGGTTGTCAGGAGAGCCATTGATCTGGTGATTTCTTAACAATCGTAGCTT